TTCCCTGTATGTCATTCCCTGCCTCAGCTTCCTCACCACTCTGGTGAGTTCTCTGGGATTTCTGGGCTCCAAGCTCCCTTCCCACCCTCCACTCCACCAGCACATGCCTCTCTTTCTGTTTCAGTTGATGAGGAAGAGCAGGTGCTGAGCCAAGCAGTCAGGTCTTTTAATAACTTCCAGTCCCCACTACTGTGAGAAACCTTGTGGTCAGCCTCAAGTCACTCCCTGAGGAGAGCAAGAATCTCTGATTGGTTATCGCTCCCCTGGAGTCCTCATTTGAAAAACTGGCTTTAACTAGGCTGTGTCTCCTCTATGCCAGCAATTCTAGCCAGTTATAGAGAGACATTAAGGCTCATCAAATTCAGATGCACATCCCCACTTGCTTGGCCTACTCATCAGCAAAGGAGGCAGTAGGCCGATATTGCATACTGGTAAGAACCAGCTGCTGGTTCTAGCCCATATGCAGTTGATATTAGAGGGGTACCTCAGAGGTATTCATGCTTAAATTCGACACTTTACACTTCTAGCCCATATGCAGCTGATATTAGAGGGGTGCCTCAGAGGTATTCATGCTTAAATTCGACACTTTACACTTAAGTTTGAATAAAGACGCTAATTATCTTACCCATTATAAAGATAGTTTCCACAATTATCACCTCTAATATCATTAGCTCACAGACATTTACCTCCCCCCTATCCCCCTTCTGTTCTGAAATTTGATTTGTCCTTTTCATATGTGTTTATTTTTTGAATTGTATCCTTTGGTATATATGGTTGTGACAATTTTCTTCCACTATTTGATTTGAGGAAGTGGGTCTGGCCCACGAAAGCTCATCACCTAATAAACCATCTTGTTAGTCTTTAAAGTGCTACATAGTCCTGTTTTTTGTTTCAGCTACACCAGACTAACACGGCTACATTTCTTTCAGGTATTTTAAGGACGCTTCCCAAAGCACTGCTATGGTAATGCTTTAATGTCATTGCCCCTTTTGCTCCCCTCCTGTCAGCAGCCTTGCCAGTAGTGTCCGACTCAGCAGCCATGGCAGTGGCTTACAGATGAGTTACCATGTGCAGGGCCAGACACTTTTCCCAGCCCAACCAGTGTGGAAGGGGAACCCTGGAAGAGAAGGATGGCTCCCTACTGGATTCTGTATTAGTAATCTCTGGCCCCAGCAACTAAACAGAAAAGCCAAGCCATCCTGGACACTCCAAATTAGTGCATACTGTTGGCACTGATGTCCTGGTGCGTCCGTTCTTCCATTATAAAATAGGGAGCTCACCTAACAGCGGCATTCTGAAGGTAAATTCCTACACATCGGAGCACTTCTTGATGTTAAGCAAGGTGTGTCACTGAAAAGCTTGTATGAAACCTAATAATTCTGTTGTCAGTGCTGTGTTTGAATACAGCACATAGATAAAGCAGAGGGCCACATATTTAATGCAGAAATGTTAATATAGTGGCTCATTTATTTAGCACTTTCCATCCTCGGCACTAAAGGAGGCAGCAGCACTATGGAAAAGTGTGATTATTTAATTAGACCACTCTTAATGTTCCTTTGATATAGCTTTGTGTACACAAATTCATAGGTATTTTTAGAAAACTGAACCCCCCCCCATTCAAAAAACACCCCTATGCCCAGAAATTCTACCCTGTGGCACCATACTGACTGCCATCTCATTCACTGCCCAAACTACAACTCCAAGGAGGCGCTTCAGGAGACATTTTGAATAAGAGTTTTTCAGTTTATAGCTGAAAACCAAAATATTTTTTGGCTTTTTATTTTTTTCGAGGCAAAGCTGATGTTTTTGGTAAAAACTTAGTGAACGACACAGCCCTCTAGGTATATGCAAGTGGCGTTGGCATCCTGGCCACTGCTAAACCCCCAGCCCAAGTACACCCTTTCTACTCCTCTCTCCCTGGAAAGGGGGGTTGCAGCAGGTCCCCCCTTTTCCCTTGAGCACAGCAAGTTTCAGGGAAATAACTTTCCAGTGCAGACAAGTGCCTAGCTTTGGGAGCTAAACCTCTCATCAAGGTGGTTTTCCTAAAGTGCTGGGACAGCTCTCTCCCAGTGCCAGTGCCACAACCACCCTGCCATGTTACAGCACTGCAAGAGTAGACAAAGCCTTA